CTGCAGGGTGCACTAGGATGAGTGAAGGTTTCTGATTTCCCTGACCTCTAGCACACCCACACAAGTAGGTTCACTGTTAACGAAATCCTTCAACCACTTGGGAATGTGCACTTCCTTCACAGGGGGAGACCTTGATGGTATTTAAATAGCTGCTAGTATTAATAGCGATAGCTGGTAGATGATGTGGAGACTTTGGAGCTCTAGGGAGCAATGCAGGTTTGGGAACAGCTCAGGCTGTCTTCTGTTTGTCTTCGTAAACTTTGCTTCCTATCACTGCGGGCTGTGTTTCCTTTCAAGGATGAGCTGAGACACCAAACAAAATGTGACTATGTAGGTAAAGGAAACCTGCCTGGGCACAAAGTATGCCTTGTGATGGAAAGCTGCAATTGTAGCTCTGAGACCCAAAAGCACTCTTTTGATTTTAAAGTGGTAAAAGCCACCAAGGAAGCACCGTTACCTGGGATAAGTCCAATCTGCGTCTGCCTTGGCCATCTAAGCTGCCTTCCACTTGGTGGCTCTCTACCTGGGAGGGTTATCGTCCCATTTTAGACTTCTCTGGCAAGTGTGAGGGGAAAAGGGTAAGAATCTGGCAAGACTTCCAGTGGCTCCGCTAACTCACTGACCAGAATAATGAAGATATCTCTAAAGATGCTATCTGGGGATGGGTGCATAGGTGGGTGGATGGATGGATGGATGGATATTTGTGCTAAAACAGTTGGGCACCTCACTTTGATACAGAGAAAAAGGACTAAAGATTTCTTCTTGGTTTTGTCATACAGAACGAGAAGCAGATCAGTAAATAGGAGAAACAGGCTTATGCTATGAGAATTGACTGGAAAAGATTGCCCTAAGTAAAACTGCCGACTCTTCAAATTGAGAAACCTTCCTCTGGTTGTTTTTATGATGTTTTTCATAGGGAGGGTCAAGCCAACCTCCACACAAGAAGAGCTTAAAATGAAATGATGGAGAAACGATGGAGATTCAAGATTAGCGTATTAGAGCATTGGAATTTATAGAAGGATGAGAGAATCTGAAGTTCAGACATAAAAGCTCAAGAGTAACAGATGAAAAAGTGATACAAACTGGGGGAATAAAGGTGATGAATACTCAGTTAAGAGTGCTACTATATCTGGAAAAAGACGTGACAAGAGGTAAATTGTAACATACTGAAAATATGATGAATTAATTTGGCACAATCTTCAGATACTGACTTTTGCCAACATTGCATGCTACATAAGAGAAAGGAATTAGCAAGCACTAGAGTAGCAGGGTTAGAAAAAGAAATACTTTTGAAAGCAAAATGGAAAACCTCTTCAACATCCATTAGGTTTAGTAATATAATACTAACAAGACCACTGCACTGAGCTGTTATCTGGTTTGCTGTCTGATTCGCTCTCCAGATTACAACTTAAATCAATAGCTCTCACATTGATTTTTCCAGCGTGCTGTATTCCAGTAAAAAGAACAATGCTCTGAGATGAGTCAGCTATTTTCTCTGTCTGTAGGGACTCTGGTGCATTTTTGGTTAGGAAAATAAAAGCAGGAGCCAAAGTACACACAAATATATAGCAATAAGAACCTGCCTGTTGCACCATAACATGACACTGGCTCTGCAGGGATTTGCTACAGCTTGCTGCAGCAACTACAGGCTTGTCTCAAGCTAGAGCAAGCCTTCTGAGGATGGAACCAAAATTTTTGGGGGCAATCTTAGATAATACCATTGTCTTTCAGTTCCAGTGACTGCTATGGCAGAGGGGAAAAATATGCCCACATTTAACCAAGAAGATGATCTCCATATATTTACTGTGACATGTAGAATCCCGGCAGTATTGCATTTTCACTTATTTCATACATTTTCAAGTATTTGCATATTCCATGTAACATTTTCTATAGTCCTGGTACTGTAACTAGTCATCCCTATTGTCTGATGTTGCTTCTGCTCCTTTTAACCATGTTAACAGTTTCCTATTTTGTTTATAATCACAACATGCATGTTCATTTGCTCTTGCTTTATCTCTCTTGCTTAGCCATGAATTCATGAAACCAACAACCTTCCCCTCACACAGTTTTGCAATTATTTCCAGGAACTTGCGAGAAATGCAGCAAAAGTGTTTGCAGTTCAAAGGAGAAACAATAATCTCAAGAGCTAATTGGAGATTTGGAGTCAGGCTGAAGCCTGACTCTCCCCACGCATTCTCTGGACCACCTCTCTGGTGCAGGCATAGGGCAAAGCTGGTGCCATGGCCCCTCATCTCCCCCACAGCTCCCTACACATAGCTGCTGTCTCGGCTTCCAGGCTCCAGAACTTTGAGTTGACAGCAGCTAAAAGCCACTAAAATGCCAGAGAAACGTAACAAATTAAAATGTTTGTCACTCTTTTCCACTATGTGTTCTGTTTTATGGAGATGTACTATCTCCATCTTTGAATGTAAGGTACTGGCTTACAGTCTATCCCAACCTTCCATTAATAACAGCCCCAGAGGATATGGAGCAGCCAAAGGGGGTGTAAAGGAGGGAGGCTCAGCATCCAGAATCTCATTCTTTACTGTATATTGAAGACCATATTGTGAACCTACTGAGGGAGAAACAGCCCACAGGAAATAAACATATGCAAAGGTCTGGGAATAGTCTGTAGTTATGAAGCCTGTTATTCTGAAAATACCGCTTAATATTGCTATCTTCAACTGCTATAAAACTAGAATCAGTACAAACCCCCTGTATTTCTCAGTAATGCTTTCATAGTACTCTGTATTTCACATTGCTACATATTTGCCTCCTAATTCCTTAGTCTAAACAAAATAACATTCATGGTTTCAAATTAATGAAGAGGAAGGAATAATGAATATTCTAATTCAAGTCATTTTTAAATAAAAAGGGTAGAATTTATGGCAGTTACAGTATGGTAAATCTGGAGCAATCCAGCCTGTTTACAGCGTTATCAACTTCCAAGTGTCCACCTGTGTGTCTGGGAATACCGTGTAGTGTAGGGTGTTAAGGTATTGAGGAGACCTATCTTGTCCTTTGCTTTGTTCTCTTTACAACATATTTCAGGTTAGTTGTGAGCTACCTTGAGTCACATATTTTCCTGCTTTCCAACTGTTCCCTGGGAATTAGGTTGATGTAGAAGCAAACTACGCCAGGTACTTCCCCAGGTCTCAGCAGGGTGTTAAAGGTAACCCTGAGCAGGCTGCAGTCCTTGAGAGGAGATGTAAGGACCTCTTTCACAGAGGACTTCATTTGCACAGTATTTAGTTTAGGCTTGTACAGCAAAATAATACAGCAGTGAGATCAATAGGTATCATTGCTACCCATGCAAAACTTCTTCCTTCCACAAATTATTATAATCGACTATAAGAAGATTATTTCTAATATCCAGTACACAAACTTTAGCTCATTTTGACAAAGAGATAGCAAGTCTTGTATGGCACCTGCGTGATGCTTTACCTGTTGCTAAGACGAGTGCTAGAGAACTGAAGCTACAGCATGGGATACATAGAATTAGCTGATATGGTAAATCACCTAATGATAATGGCAGTGTTTCACACAACAAATCAGATCATAGAATCATAGAATGATTTAAGTTGGAAAGCATCTTAAAGATCATCTAGTTCCAACCCGCCTGCCATGGGCAGGGACACTTCCCACTAGACCAGGTTGCTCAAAGCCCCATCCAGCCTGGCCTTGAACACCTCCAGGGATGGGACAGCCACAACTTCCCTGGGCAACCTGTTCCAGTGCCTCACACCCTCATAGTAAAGAATTTCTTCCTAATATCTAATTTAAACATTTCAGTTTAAAACTGTTACCCCTCGTCCCATTGCTACAGTACCTGATAAAGAGTCCCTCCCCAGCTCTCCTGTAGGCCCCCTTTAGGTACTGGGAGGCCACTATAAGGTGTCCCCAGAGCCTTCTCCTCTCCAGGCTGAACAATCCCAACTATCTCAGTCTGTCCTCACAGCAGAGGTGCTCCAGCCCCCTGATCATCTTTGTTGCCCTCCTCTGGCCCTGCTCCAACAGGGCCTTTTTTGACTTATTTATCAGATACCTTCCCTTTTTAGATATCCTACATTTTATGCCAGGTAATAAATTGTGTTACACAGAAGGAACGGAAATTGAGGATATTCATTGTCTATCAAGAGACACCCAGCAGGATAGCCCTTGGTCTGGAGTCCGAAAATAATCCTGTACTGACAAGCATCAGTCTGAGGTGCTAGTGAACCACGATAGATTTTGCTTCACTGCAAGCACCGTCAAGTCAAATTCTGCTCAGAGTGATTTGAGAAACAAGGCCTAGCTGTAGTGCTGAGGGACATGGTTTAGTGGTGACTTGGTAGTGTTAGGTTAAAGGTTGGACTTGATGATCTTAAAGGTCTCTTCCAACCAAAACAATTCTATGATTCTGTAATCCCTGCTACCTGCTGCTTTTATGTTCATTTCTGAAAAGCATGTGAGCCCTTTAAACATTTACCAAGATGTCTTATTTCCCCTTGTTTACACAAGAAAGGCTTCACACTTGCTATGATCAGATACGCAGCCCACAATTTTGGCTATTTTCCTTTCCCCAGCTGCCTGGAAAGGGAGGCAGTATGTACAGGAGTGGTTTTAAGAAGAAACAGAGAGCTGTACAGGGCCAGCACTGCTAAAACCTATATATTCAAGGACTTCTCTTCAATGTTTGAGATGGAATTATCTGTTATCCCAAATTCATAAAAGTATCAAGGCTTTGCAAAAAAAAAAAAAAAAAAAAAAAGCTTTTAAAAAAACCCCAAAAAACTACTGCAAGATTCTGTAGTGAGGATAATTAGACAGTGAGTATGAGGTAGCTTGTCACTTCAAAGTGTGAAAACAGCGATAGCTGAAGTTGAACCCATCACAGCTGTGCTGCTCGTGGGCAGAGAGTCACCACTCAAGCCCCACTGATTCCTCTGGGAGAGAAGACACAAAGCCACGGCACGCGGGGCGCGTGCCCTGCCAGGGCAGAGACAGTACCTGCACAGTACCTTTGAGGGCAGGTGGGGTGAAGACGCTCTGCTTCCTCTGCTTGGGAGAGGCGCTCTGGGACTGGGGAGGGACAAAACACAGAGAGAGGTGGTAAGAGACGGGCATGGGGAGAGTTTTCTGGTCATGGCAGCTCTGGGTCTTGCTCCACAGCTGCTTGCAGAGGGTGCGCACCCCAATCTGAGAAGTTTCTAAGAAAATCATGACTCCCAGGCAAAATAGATGCAATACTACCGAAAATTACCCTTCACTCTAGAAAAATAGTTAAGCATAAAATTAAGATGGCCTGTGCTTGTAACAGCCAATGTAATTGATTCTCATAAGGTAAATGAAAGTTTACATACATTAAAATAGTTGCAAGATTTACATTAATCAATATTCCAATTAAATATAGTGTAATGAATGATTGTATGTACATGTAAGGTAATATTGAAATTATGAATATCTAAATTTTTACATAAATAAATGGAAGATTCCTCCCTCCGCACTTTCTCAATGTGTTCTGTTACTCCTAAAATAATACTTTCAGCAACCAGTCACTCAACCTTTAACTGGGTCTGATTTAAGTGATGTATTTAGACACAGTTAAACTTTTTATGGCCCCAAAATCACACCTATACACAAAAGACAAATTATTCCAAAGAAATGGTAGCAAAATTTTCATATAGAGTAATAGTATATAATTATACAATGTATATTTACCAAATTCTAACTGGAATACATCCCAGTGCTAAAGCAGAGCAACTTTTGCAAAATGAAAGCAGTTAAATTGGTGTCCATATTATACCAACATGAAATATGTCCATATACAAAGAATAATAAAACTATATAAGGTAGACACATAGCTAGCTTTTGAAGACATAAGCACCATATCACAATCCTAAGAAAAAAGTTTAAAAAAAGCTGTGTGTAGGCAAGCTTTATTTTTTTCTCTAATCAATTTGTAGTTGCATCTGGTCATAACACTGTTGTCTTTTCCCAAATATTTGCTAAAAATGCCTTTTTCCCTGAGTACTTTGACCGGTATATAGTCTGTGAATTTTAATCAGATCTATTTCTTCAAGGAACATTTGAGACAGCTCTTAAAAAAACCACTTTCATATAAGTATGACCAATCCTATTACCTTACTTTATCACAATGGATGGAATGATAACATTTATAAATAAAATATTGTCTTCTTTTGAAAGAGAAAGCTATTTATAAACACTGTGGGATAGGTTGTTGATCCTCACCCTAGTAAATCTTTATAAGTCTGTATTTGAGTCCAAATTTGAACCAATCAATACCTCCTGCTGCTATTTAAAGTGCTGCCTGCTTCTCTGAGCAATGGCTGAAGGAGAAAGAGATCAGGGAATTGCAGGAGCTACGCAAGGGGAGGTTAGAAAACGAGATTGGAGGAGCCGACTTCTAACTCTTCTGCAAACAACATCAATGCACTGCCTGCTGTGGGCTTGGCAAGTGATGGGAAGAGAGAAGGGTTTGCAATGCTTTTGTAGACCAGCAGTGATCCACAGACCCAAAGCGATGCTGGATGCGCCAGGTTCGCTATGATTTGCCAGGGCACGGCAGCAAGGCAGAGGGCAAATGCCTTTCCCAGTTCCCTGCTCCAGGAAGAAGGGAGAGCTGGCAGAGCTGAGGTGCAACACAGCTTTACACAGTCCTGGTTTGAAAGGGATGGGCCTTAACAGGCTGCATTACTGAAGATGGCATGACAATGTAAATAAAACACTAACTAGGATGAATCAGTGAGTTTCAAAGGGGTTTTAACAATAGGTCTATTTTAACAATAACTATGTTTTAAAAAAAAATATTTCACTTACCTCTGCCTGCGAGATGTTTGTTCTCTTCTCGTCTTTTTCTGGCGGAAGAAAAGATACGGAAAGAGAAAAGTTAGTACAAAAGCATTTCTCAGTGCTAACCCTTGCAGCTCTGCCCTGAACCTTGCAGCACTACTGTAAATAAGAAATTACCCTTCTGATTTGCAGCTATTCTTTCTTCATTGTGTGCCTCAGAAAACCCGAGGCCCTGATTAGCATTTAGACATAAGCACTACATATAAAGCCCTTAACTCCCATTTTTTGTCTGCCAATTAACAGCAAGCGAGGGAGTGCGTTTAGCAGCAGGTCCTTTGGCCAGGCTCGCAGCAAGGCTCTACAGTCAACGGTGGCCATCAGGATACGTGGCTGCCCTGCCCAGGGACGGCACATGTGCTCAGACAAGGTTTGTTTGCCAAATGGTACACAGCAAACTCACAAAGGGCTCTTCTGGACTCCAATAATAATCAGTAAGAACCTCACCTCAGCCAAGTTATTAATATACCAATACTGGTGCTGAAGAGCACCTAGCAGTTACATGTAAAATTAGCACACCAAAGCTTAACAAAATCTAGTCTTACTCTTAATCTTAAAAGTTTCATTACATTACTGGTGTAGTTCCAGAAAAGACTGTGAAATATTTCCCAGTACTGCTTGGTTTTGCTGCCTTAATTTGCTTTGGACTATAGACATGGCAGAAATGGTCAATACAAGAGATTTCTAGGGAAAACAAGCACCTGAGAACCTGTCTGAACTAAGTAAAACTGCAGGGAGCAGAGGAGGGTCAAGGATCTTCCTAATCATTGCACTTAACCAGTTTGTGCATGAGATCAAATTATTTTTCTACTGCTGTCTTGATGCAGTTAATGGTCAGAAAGTGCTTGCCTTCTAATGATGTTTTCCCAAATATTTGCAAAGATCACATAGGACCTTTGATGCACAGTAGTTTTGAGCTCTAAAATAAAATGCTATTAAGAACAGAGACATCAATCTCTCCCTGTACCAACTCCCCTTCTAAAATTTTCCACTTGCAGATATCACTGCAACTTCCACTGAGGTGTGGCAGATCTGTAAATATAGGTTTGAGGGAAGAATTAGGTCTATATAATATCACTTCATCTAACTTATTCTCTAGATATTGGCTGCTTGTGGTGTGCTGTGTGTGAGGGGAAGAGCCAGTCCAGGCAGATCGATTGCATTTTCTATTGTATTCTTTACTGTTGCATCTGTGCATCTTACAAACATTAATTGACTTACTGGATTTTTCAATGTATATATTTTCCATTACCTTTATATGAAGACATTCCCATGACTTATACTCAAAGTTAAAAAGCATGGTTGAAAACTGTGCTGATTACTAAAGCATGGTTCCACAGATACAGAATTAGACAGGACAATCAGGAGGCCAGTTCCTGCCATTGACATTTGTATGAACTTTGGTAAGGTGACTAATCTCTTCCTTGACTTCCCTACCTGTAAATAACTGCAGCAGTACCTATTTAAGTATGGCAGTGTCTATTCTCCTTTGTAAAGCACCTTGGGGTATGAAGTTAAGCTGGCTAAATGGGTGGTTATTTACATGCTTGTAATCTTTCTTATTAGCTGTATACCAAACAGACACGGACTTCAATGATTCGACACTGGATTTTTATTTTTTTTTTTAGCTCAGGATCCTGGATTTAGTTTAGAGGCTTAAATTTGAATATATCAGGAACTTTCAGCAGAGAACAATGAAAAGTAAGTTGTGTCCCATTCCTTCCTGAAACTCGAAACTTGCCCAGATTAAAAATATGTTTTGTAAACCCAAGCTGAGGCTTGCATAAGGAGCAAAACCTGCAAGCAGCAGCTTTGTTGGTTTTGGGGTCTTGTTCCTAAGGATGTGCCCAACTCTAGCCCTTTGGGCTTGTACTTTTAGTGTTTTTAGTGGGGTAACATTAAACCTACCATAACTGGAAAGTTTCCAGGCTTTCCTTTCACCCAGCAGCCCGTACATGACAGGCAACTTTGGGAACAAGAACTGGTCCTGTATGGAGTTAGAGAGATCATTCATATCCAAAGGGCAAATAGTGCCAATGAATAGTAGCAGACAACATGGAAATTTAAGAATGATTTCCAAAATCCCACAAACAAATGGACTTTCAAACCCAGTAAACAGAGATCAGAAATGAACCTTAAGGACCAAAAGAGACAATCCTGAGGACATGAAGTCTTTCAAGTGAGTTGTGAGATGAAGGAAAAGTAGAACTGGTTGGAGATGCAGTTTGGTCAATGGTACATTTTGGCATGCATTTATTTTTGAGGACAGAAAGACCATTGCATGCTTATTTTTGACAGGCATTTTGATAGAAAAGACTCAATGGAGAATATAGATGTTTAAGGAGACATGACAAAGAACAGGAACAAGGGAAGCTGAGATTGACGAGTGCCATAGACTGAGGCAGAGGGTAGAAAACAAACAAAAATTATTTCTATAGAGGATGAGAAAATGATGAAAGGCAGGAGATACACAGAAGGAAGAAGGAAGTGCTTGCGTGTAGCTGAGGTAGTAATGAGAGACAGGGACAGGGGGTTATAGCAGAAGTAAAAGAGGAAATTTAGTGATGACAGAGAACAGAGCTGCAGTGCAGTGTGGGCTGGAGCTCAGTCAAGAGCTCTTTGCCTGGGGAAACACTTAGAGCCATGTTGGTCTAAGTGAAGGATTACATTAACAATTGTGTGAATATTCTTCCTTGGACAAATAGTGTGTTTCCAGTGTAAGTTAAAACACTTTGAAAGCAGTCTAAATAAATTCATGAAAGCATGTTCTTGTAACAGTCTTAATAAGAAAGTGTCTTTGAGAGACTCAATGAGTGTAGGAATTGATGCTCTTACTACACCAGGTCAGTTCTGGCATCAAGAGTTTTCACGTAGAAAATGTTTGAGACAACAAAATTAGTGTTGAGAACGGAATGTACAAGATAAAAAGAACATCATAAGTTAGCTACTGCAAATTAGAAATATCCGCCTACCCAAGTCAAACAAGCCACACATTTCTCCCCACCCCTTAGATCCTTCTCAAATCCATTGACAATTAGAAGCTGAATTTTTTTACTGAACTCTTTGAGCATAAATTCCTCTTCAGAAGGGTCAGGGAATAAACAGAAACTAAATCACAAATATCAGATTGTGATATGATTTGATTCAAAGGAGAATATGAAATCCTTTGTTTCTCAACATCCTTCAGTTCCCATTGACTACTGTGCAGTCAGGATTCTGCTCACAAAAAATCAGTTATACAGAATGAGAAATTTCCTTATAATGTTTATAACTAGGTAATTATATCACAGATAATGTGAATTCAAGTGATCAGCTATTTCTCTCTTATATGAAACAAAACCCAAGCTCTCAGTAGATAACTTCTCCCTACAGGTTTGCTCTCTTTTTGGGACCAGGAGGGAAGAAGTCTTTTTAATGATGCTCCATTTTCGTCCCTCACAGACCATAACATTGTTCACAGAACATAATACAGCTGCATTATATTCCAAATCTGAACATATGGCATTTTTCCAGTTTAACTTATTCTTGGCTGCTCTAAATAGCTAACAGGAGTCTAATTACTCAAGTCATTTCTTGACAGTTTTTGTGGTTTTCTTTTAAAGTGGTATAATAGAAATCACGTGAAGAGCTGAGAACAGATTTGTACATACCCGAGCCACTGGAAAGTCAAGGTACATAAAAATAAGACTGGAGCTTTGTTTAGAGGCTTTTTACACCCTTGTTGAGGAAAAAGCAGTTGAGGACTTTCTCCTGTGCTGGGTAAATAATGTCTGAGGCTGGTGTAACCCTTACCTCATGTAGACTGGAATAAGACCCGATTTCCATCAGTCCAGATGTGTACACAGACCTTCTGAAATGAAGACTTATTTCTTTAAGGAGAGACACTTCTGAAACTCCGTTTACCTGCACAGAGTCTATTTTAGCATTACAGCTCTAATCTTCAGTCTTTACCCAGAACAAAATCTCACCCACTCACAGGGAAACCTGCAAGATTTGGCCCAGCTGAAATATGGAGGAAGAAACACCAGGGAATTTGTCTCCCAAATGCTCTTGTTAGCAGAACTCTTTTGAAGGTTTATTAGCACATCCACACAGCCAAGCCGACATAATAAGCTGAGCTACCCCAAAGGTGTCATTATATGAAGTCAGAAATGAACCGAGCGGAAGGATGCTGGATATAGCCAGGATGACAACCCCTTGGCATTGCTGATCGCCTTTCCTGTGAATCTCCACTCTTGGGGCAAACGGCATGACCATGCAGGGGGAAGTCTTATGGTGGTTTTACAGTAGGATCAAAATTCATCTGTCTCTCTTCTCCCACTGGATAATGTTAATGCACTTGGAACAGCTATGCAGGGCAAGAGGTGACCTATTTTAAAAGACTTGGCCTCTGATATCACCCATGGGCTCTGCAGCCGAGTCATCCGGCAAAGGCTTATCTCATCCAGCTAAGTACCCGGCTTTCTTTCCCCTTGGCAAGAGCAAATAAAAGCCTTTTCTGCAGGGTTTTAGTCAGGCACTGAAGGAACAGAACCAGTCAGAGAGGCCAGGTTTTACACAAAAGAAACTCAGTAAGAGACTGGTATAATTGTTGGAGAAAGCTTCATGTAGGGAGTTTGGAATTTTCCTTGGGAAAACAAAGCTGAGGAGTTTCAGATAAAAATCACAGGGGGCTGATAGGGCTTTGGATTTCGTTAGTTTTTGTCCTAGTGTTTAAATTTTCCCTTAAAAATAATAAACACAATACTCTGTAGTTGCTCAGATGATGGAAATAGTCCATGAGCTGCATGTCTACAACAGGATTTAGTTAAAGAATGATTTAAACAAGAATAGCTTGAATCTGAAAAAAATTAGCTTGAAGAGAGACTTTAAGGACACAATGTCACTGTCAGTCTGGAGCCTTCTTATAAACCTGCACCCACCCCTGTATAAACAGTGCCACTGGAGAGAGAGCAAAGGAGATGAACAGAAGCACAGATCCAGCCTTTCACATGCAAACTTTAGTGCA